GGGGATTTAAAATGATATTTTTTTCACAAAAAAATAACTTTTNTTTAAAATGACATTTTTTTCACAAAAAAATAACTTTTTCAACATAATTTTTAAAAGTGTTCCAGAAATACTGACACTTTTATATATTAAATTATAGCTAATGTAATATACTTTAATATTAAAAAAAAAATTTTTGGACTTCATTTTGTCTTCATGGTGAAAATGGCTACCGTATGCTATTTTTGTATTAAAATTCTCGATTTTATATTTTAAATTTTAAAATGTTATAACTGACACGGTATTTTAAAGGTTATTAATAATAAAATTGTGACGCCGTTAAGATTTGACTGTGGAGTCACTTTATTTTATTTTAAGTTATAATAATATTACAAAAAAACTGGTGAACAGTAAGGTGCGAATAAAACACAACCAGGCGTTGGTAAAAATAACACACGGCACGTACGGCGGATGTAAGTCACAGATGAACTAGTGTACATATTCGCCGACGTGTCTTGCGGTGCTGAACCCAACCTGTCCTATCTACCGACCGCCGGATAAGACCAACATGTGTTATCGTCAACACTAATGAGTGCGACGGTGGACAGCTGATAATCACGACCGGATAACGTGCTAATTCACGGTAAATGAATAGTGCGCTATTACGGGCCGTGTCATAACTTTTTGAAAAATGTATGGATCAATACAATTTTTTTATAAGAAATAATATTTATATACTTCTTTCATTCGACATACTTTTTTTTTAAATCGGACCACTTCCCTTAATCAAATAAAAAGTAGCTTAATCAGCTTTATCAATATAAACAATTAAAATCAAGGATTTAAATTTTTAAATTATTTATTATCGAATAGGTTTGAGATGATAAAAGTATTCAACTACAAAAGTAAATAATTTTTACTTTGTAATTTATTAATTTTTTAACTGTGTGTGGAACTACCAGTATAAATCATAAATCTAAAAAAAAATGATTTTTAGTTTTACCTGAATTTAACGATGCATTTATAAAACTATAATCAAATTTTAAAATTCGTTCAATTGAGTAAATCTTTTTAAAAACTTTTTTTTTTATTGGATCTTTTAATTAAAGTAAATCATTAAAATTAATTAAGTTCTGAATATTTCCATTTTAGAATCTTTTTAAACACTAAAAGTTAATTTTTTTTTATTATAAACTTTCACTTTGAAGGACGAAAAAATGTAGGGTAAAAATTGTTACTTTTAACATATTAAAAATCAAAATCAATAATAATTTGAAAACAATTTACTATAAAAATGATATAATATATAATTTTATATTATATTTTTGAATCTAAGAAATACTTATCTGGATATAATTATGGAAATAGTTGATGTTGCCTTTGTAATTATCCGCCAATTTCTTAGAATTAAACATTATTTACAGATTTGCATCGAAACGTTTCTTATAATAGTGATTTTAATCACTGTTAGATTAAATCTATACTCAAACCGAAGATAATGAATTATTTTTTTCAGAAAATGATATAAGTCTTCTAAATTCTCGAAAAAAGGAAACACTACGAGAAAAGTACAATAAAAGAATGGAATTTTTACACTGTCAAAATGCATATATACTGAATTACTTTGAAAGGAAAATTATAGATGATATTTTATTAATTGATGGCAATCCAGACCCAAAAAAAATAGAAGAATTTAAAGTATACAAAAGTTATGTAGAAAATATGTTTTCGACATTATTTTATAATCATACAAAAGCAAAGAAATGGATTATCACGATTTTTATGAAACTTTTAGCTGTAGTTACAGAAAATCATATAGTTCTATATATTTCTTTTCATGTGAGTCTACCTTTAAGGATATAGATATATTTTATGAACAATATGCACAAAGAATTTTGTTCCGGAAATAGAAATTTTTAATACAAACAATATTAACAATAATGAAATTAAAATCCTAGTTGATCATTTATACGAGAATGAAGAATTTAAAAATATGTACAGCAGTACATTATTTACCTTAGACATTATTATTCTACAATTTTTAATGGACAAATTCCAGGAAGAAATTTTTCAAACCTAATTAAATTATTTATATGACTGGAAATATATTAAAGAGATTATAGACAATAATATAACTAATGTAATTAACATTTAATAATAAATTTTATTCTAACGGTGAATGAGCTACCGAGCATTATGCCTTTTTGCAGCTTCATTATAGAATTCAGCATATTATTTATACAAATTTTTTACTTCATATTGCATTTCATTTAAACACATTTTGGAATGAGTCGGGCGTAAATGTTATCATAGGAACTGAATCTTTTATTTCTGTTATACAAGAGCAAAATAAAAGTGTGAATATCAAAGAATTATGGTAATTACTTGGTGAGCCATTAAAAAAGATTATTGAACTTTTAGATTACAATGAATATATATTCAATTAATTATTACAACTTTGTGAGAGTGATCACCCTAAGTGGTCATCATTAGCGAAATTAGATTATCAAGTAAATTTAATACTTTTACTTTGCATTAGAGAGCTTAAAATAACTAAATATGAACATGTTATTTCGAAAAATAGAGCAATACCACATAAACCATTATATTTTGAAGATTGGAAAATAAAAACCAATAAATAATCTTTTATGTACATGCAACATTTTGCACACATAAAGGTAAAACAGTGAATGGTAATTTATTTCAATTATATAGAGTTAACTGTCTACAGATAGACTAGCATTAGAACGACCTTTGTATTTTGTGAGTTCTATAACTACACATGGTCGATGTAGTTTAAACATAATGTTCACATAAGCAGTATTTAAGAATTCATTTCAGAACAAATTCACATATCTAATATTAACTGGATCAAATAATTAAAATAAATTTTATACATAATATTAAATAATTAATTTAATAATGTACCAACAAAAAAAAATAGGAGTGTATCGTGGGAATGATAGATCCATCGCATGGGTCAGGGTAAAATGGACATGTCACCAACGTCAATGGGTATCCTCTACATAAATGTAGAGGACCCATTGAGATGTTTACTATGTCCACCCTGACCACACCCGTGAAACTGTCAGTTCTCGGAACGTGAAGAAAGAAAAATTAAAGAAATAGAAAGAATTAACTATATAACATAATTTCAGACCATAGTTACAACCCATATAGTTATTAACTAAAATAAAAGAGGATGACGAAATAGTCAACTAGCTCATAACACAATGAAGTAATTTACATGTGCAAGACAAAATATAACAAAAGAAAAGGAACAAATATACCATATTGTAATATTTTGTTGTTGAATGTCCAAGAAGATGTAGTGGTGTTGTTGCCATTTTGATGGCCAAGCCAAATTGAAAAACTTTACTCCTCCATAACACACGTCAAAAAATTTAAGAGATAATGACATTGATCCAAAACGAAGAAGAGTAACTAATGATGACGATTGAAATTCTTTTTTGAACATAACTGTATTTTCCCAAGCCGGCTCAATAACACTTGGGAAAGGGTAAGTTCTAGTGTGACCATTTATGTGGTATAATATGGTATGGATCACAGGTGGTAGGAAAAATTATTTTTATCATAAATAATCATGTGTGTATATGTAACACTGACCCTATAGATGTAAGACGCGCACTGTTTGAATTCAGTTACCCATGACCTGATACTCATGATAATTTTGTATAAACATTTTATTTTATTTTTGTTTCCTTCTTTGTAGACATGGTTTTTGATATATTCGTATTTTTGTTCATGTATAACTTAATTTTCCTTTTTAACAATTACATTAAAATTCTTTATTAATCTTACAGTAATATTTATTTTATTGTGCGACTAGATTAAGTACGCGCGTTTATATTGTACCACTCACAACTTCAATTATTATAGACGTGGTTAATAAACCACGAGGTGTTATAATCACTTATACATATAACGACATATCAACTTAAATTCCACTTTTAATTAACTAGCTTCGCATCGAAAATAATACAATAGCTACTTCTTCATGCCAAAATGAAATAAGAAAACCTTAGCAATAATAGCAATTATTTCGAATGGGGAAATAGAGAACCAGCAACATATTAGAAGAACATGGGTACCAGAAATGTAAATGAAAAAAAACATATTGACATACTACTTCAATAATAATAATTTCAAAATAAGTATGGATATTAATCAAAAGTAGGTCAAATTCAAATAAATCCAAATTATTACTTTTATTTACTCATAAAATATCCATATTTATTTTTCATTTAAATTTTAACAAATTTAGTGGTAATAATATTTTTTTGTCATTTTAAACCCGTTAAACTTATAATTAAGTAGGTTATTACAATATATTGTGGTGGTCCAAATTAGGCAATTAACTAATAATAATAATTAACTATAAAGGTATAATTGTTGTAAAATATTAATTATAATCAATATTATATTGACAATAATATTATTATTATTATTATTATTATAAAATTTAAACCAATCCAATATATCTTGTAGGTATCCCCTTATTATTATTTTACATTTATAACTTGGATTGCTCTCATAGAAAAGTCCTAGAAGTCTAAAGTGCTCTAATTTAGACGATTCTCCCCTAAGATTTAACTAATTGATTTTCTATGTTTCTTGAAAGTTTTTGAAACTAACGCTTATAAATATTATAAAATAAAATAAAAAAATATTTTTAGATAGTTTTTTTTTTTTTGAAAATTAAGTACACTTCATAAAGAATGAACTTTTTAACATTGTATAAAAATTAAAAGGTAAAAATAAAAAATAAATAGATTTTTTTTTTTAAATTTTAATTAAATTACTGTCAAAGTGAGTATAAAAATAAAAAGCAAAAATTTATTTCCATGGTTTTTTTCTAAATAATCTGCAATTTGAGCATTAGTAATAAAATTCTAATTAAAGTCAATATGGAAAACAATTGGAATATTATACATTTTTACAACTGGTTATGAATATTTATTATCTAACAACAGTTTTATATTTTACAATAATCAATGAAGCGTTCTCAAGACCAAAAAGGTTATATGAATCTAAGAATTCAACTGAACATCCATACGTTGTTTGCATCATGTCAGCATTTAGTGGGGTGGACATGAAATATAAATACAAATTTGGTGTTGGTACTTTAGTACACGAGCGATTTGTACTAACTATAGAGTCGATGGTACAAAACACAAGATCAGTAGATATAAGGGTATTTATACAATCTCATTAAAACATTTAAGATAAAACCAATGTTTCAGTTAAACTATCTCCAAAAAATATGAAATATCTAGGCGTTCTATCGGCAGACATTTGAATTCTAAGATAGAAATATCTGAATGCTACAAATTAAGCAAACTTTGGCGTTTCTATTAGTAATTTCTCTATTTAGCTTGATTACATAAAAATTAATAGAGCATGCTAAACAATTACAATACTTAGTGAAAAAGATATAATGTCTTCAAATAATTATCATACAAAGATTTGAAATATATATTTTTAAATATTTATCTTCCTATAAACAAATTTTTAAATAACAATCTTATTTAAATTTATACAGCCAATTTAAAAAAGACTCTTTTGACATTAACCAAACGATAACTCTCATAATATCAATCAAGTTTAGAATCTTTTTTCTTTTATTATTTTTAGATACGTATATTTCTCAATGCCATCTCTTATTCCTTAAGATATTATTATTCTGTTGTACACTAGTTTATATTAAATAATTTTATCTAATATTATTATATTACTCTCCCCAATCTATCTAAACATAAACGTTTGTATTGTTAAATGTCTTCATTAAAAACACGTTATATAATAACTATTGGAAATTTCACATTCAAATTATCAAGTACAAATAAAAAACTTCTTAATCACTTTAGTAATTTCTGATTTAAACATTTCGAAAAAAAAAATGTTGAGAGTTTTTTTAGATATACGGTTCGAAGTGTCCATCCAATTTTGATTTGGGTATAAATGCTATTAGAGAAAATTATAATACGGCTAAAAAAACTTTCAGACCAGCTGACTTTGAACTGAAACACCTCGAGAATGATTATAAAATGTCAATGCCTGTACTGATATTGATGAATACTACTTTAAAAAACATCACATCTACTATAAAGCCGTTAGAGTATCCTCCTAAACAAGATTATTGGGGCCCTGAATTATGCGTTATGGTTGGTTTCAGTCCATTTGGTCGAGCACAAAAACTTAACAATTATGATTCAATTCCATTGACCGTTTACAAGTTAGACATCTATATGACCACAAAATGTGGTACAGGTAACTACAGTTTATAACATAACACATTTTATGTAGTATACTTAAAAATTTTATATTATTGGTTTTCTAATAATGAAATTTTCTAATATGAAAGCATACTCTTCAAGCATAATAATATCCTAGTTTTGTAAACGTAGTCATATAATATTTAGTAGAATGATACTATAAAATTAAACAAATATATTGATAAAAAAAAACCCAGCACAGGGGGGTCGCGGCACAGTGGTGACTTGGCATAGTTGGATCAAGTATAATGATATCTGACAGTGATTAAAATCACTATAAAAAAAAAACGCTTCGGTGCAAATCTTTAGATAGTGTTTAATTTTAAAAAATTGGTGGATTATTCCAAAAGCTACATGATCTGCTATTTTCTTATTAATATCCTGAATGAAAAAGAGATTATTAAAAAATATTATTTCTCATATAAAAATTGTGTTGATCCATAAACTTTTCAATAAGTTGTGGCATTTTAAAGTTAAAAATGTAAAAAATAAAATCAAGAATTTTCACACGAAAATAGCATTCGTTAGTCATTTTAAATCCCCCCCTGGGGACAGTTTAAGTGTCAGATTTACAAAAAATATATACCAAATGATAGGTTAAGACATCAAGCATCTACATAAAAAAAAATTTACTGATCCATACATTTTGCAAAAAATTATAGCATTATTAAGTTAAAAATATAAAAAAGAATTATTTTACAAAAATCGTAATTTTTTATTAATTTTGATGTCTATTTTCACCACGAAGACAAGTCCAGAGGTCAAATTTTTTTTCCATAATAAAGTATATTACATTACCTTTAATTTAAAATATATATAAAAGTGTCAGACCTTCCGAAACATTTTCAAAAGTTAAGTCGAAAAAGTTAATTTTTTGTAAAAAAGTCGTCATTTTAAATCCCCCCTATGGGCAGGTTAAGTGTCAGATTTACAAAAAAAATATACTAAATAATATGTAAAGACACGAAGCATCTATAAAAAAAAAATTATATTGATATGTTCATTTTTGAAAAAGTTACGGCAGTTTTTAGTAAAAAAAATTGAAAAAATTTCGAAAATTAGCGATTTTTAAATTTGTAATTTTTTTGGAGGTTTCCCCCATTTACGGGGAACGAGGGAATTTTTATCAATTTTTAAGGGTAATGTCTTCGACTAGATACGATTTTTGATCTTTTGACGTATAATAATAAGGTAATATATTATTTTGTTGTAAAATTAATATTTTTTCGTAAAAATAAGAAAAATCAGTTTCACTTAATTTTTTTAAAAAAATGACATAGTTTTCAGTTATACTTTTCCAGTGTCTTAAATTTTAATTGTACGCAGAAATTGTACAGAAGTAATATTAATCACCGTGATATCTTCTATAAAAAACGTTATTTGAGTTTTTTTTTTAATTATGAATCCTTTCCAAAAAAAAAATTTAAAACAACTACGAAAACGTGTTTTTTTTTTTTAATTTTTTTGCATGTATGTTTTTTGTTTATAAACGAACAAATTTTCTTAGTTATATTAAATAAAAAAAAAACAACAAACACAATAAAATAATAATTGTTTATCACAATAATAGTTTTTCCAATTATATTTTTTATTCAAAATTTCTTGGCTACAACTGGGATACAGTTGGCGATATTGTTGAACCACCTAAAATAGTCCAAAGTAAAGGTTATAATACAAATATAGTAATTTTAAATTTTAAAAAAAGGTAATCCACCCCATTTTTGAAGAACTTCAACCCCTTTGAGGCACGTGAAGGGATTGACTTATTGTACTCAAATTTTACCAGTTTCATTTTTTCAGTGAACCTAACGAAATTTTGAGCCCCTGACTCTGAATTTCTTAAAAAAAATATTTTCTTCTATAACTAAGGACCACCCTAATATATATATATATATATATCAAGTATTACATATTTCGCAATTGTAATCACAGAGAAAAAATGTATGTTATTATTAAAAAACAAAAAATTATTATTTTAGAAAGAATTTAGTTGACAATATAACACAAATTATTAAAATTTTACAAGTCTGTGTATTCTTTAAATGAACTTGTGTTAGACATAAGAACCATGGTATAAAAGATTTTAAATTAATATTAATTATTTCCATAAAAAGTACTAGTGTTTAAATTTAACGAAAATTCATATTTTTAGTATATACAGAACGTTCAGTAAGTAAGGAACAGATAAATTGTTACAAATAATGAGAACAATAGACGCCCATTTCTTTACTTACTGAACATCTGTATACGCTTCACTCACTGGAGAGAGACTAAGTCTCGACGATAATATTTGTTGTATGAGAAAGGGAATCTAATCTCATTCCTCAGATAATTTTAATTACTTCCAAATATTTTATAATGCCAATTTATCAACAAATTTAATAAAAAGACGACCAGAATTCTTATACCCTTGGGACGAATAGATTTATAGAAAATTCCTTTAATTGTTATAAGCGTAACAATATATTTAATTTATAACACATAAAGAGTAATATTTGTTGACAACAGGTTATAAAATGGAATTCAGTAATTTTCTTTGTGAATATTCTAGTCCCAACTCGACAAATTCTTCAACAGCCATTTGCTTGTTAGGCGATGAAGGATCACCTCTACTGTGTAAGGTTTCCGATCAGACAGCAGTAATTGGCAATACAACTACTAAATCCAACGGAACTGACGAACCTCTAGCTATTTTTGGATTATCTATGTTTAAAAATGAAATCTCATGTTCCGCAAAAGAACGATTAAATAGTAAACACAATCAGACATTTGTTGGTATGTTTCGGTACAGTCAGTGGGTTGATGAAGTAATTAAAGATGAAATAAAAATAGAAGAGGAAGAAATGAAACTGAAAAATATTACCACAGCAGAACAATTGAATAATGACACCAATACCACTTCTAGTATGACTAAGGAGATAATAAAAACAACAACAATAAAAACAACAAAAAAGATAAAAACAACAACACAACTTACTACAGAAAAGCTTCCAGAGTATTATAATGACGATTACTATGATTTAATGCGCAAGAAACCGGTCCAATGCAAATCCAGTTACTTTCTTTCTAATTTTCTACAACTTAATGAGGCATTCACCAAAATTTCTGTTAACAACGCAATTCGGTGTGTTTATAGTAACCGATTGCATTTATTTTTTAAAATCATCGCCAGTTTAACAATATACTTCTTTGAAAAAATATATTATTAACCGACACACAATTAAGTGTTATACCGTTTGTACATGATTAATGCCAAAATGAGAAACCACTATTATAGGAACGTGTCATTTTATCAAGAAATTTTTATTTTATATTTTATGTATATTTTTTTTTCTAGGTAATTTATTGTAACTTTTTATGACATTATTTAAAACATTTTACAATCAAGCAAATCAATTTTTTTAGAATAATATTGTGATGTATAACTTGGTTATTTTCAACAAAAATAAGTTATAATTTTGTATCAACATATCATTCATTATGTTAACAAATTAATTGTGATTTTATTAATGATTTACATTATACATTATAGATTAATAGTTATTGTGATAATTAAAAATTGATTTAGTTACTAAATTAGTTGATTAATAATTTTACTAAAATTAATTCAACATAGCACTGCTGTAACATTGATGATTTTTTATGTAACTCAAAAGATTTTTATTTAAATATTTTGGAATCCCATGGAAATAAAACATTTCTGTATTCTTTACATTATGGCAAGATTACAAGTTTATTAAATTTATTGTATAATACGAATTTAAAATAATAATGTATTATAACTGAATTTGGCGTGTCTAGATAGGAGCTTAGAGGGAATCTTGCCCCCTTAAGCTTAAAATTAGACCTCTCAACGTCATGATTCATAGACCTTGGTAAATTTTATAAGTTGCTACTTTATATTTCATTATGATTAATTCTAGTCATGTTTAAAATATATTTGAAATGTCTTTGGTAACATAAAATAAAAAATTGACATAATCTAGCTAAAAATGTATTTTAAATAACGTGTTACATGACAATATGTTAATATAATCAAAAGTTTCTGAGAAAATGAGTGTCTTATCCTTAATTGATCATCCTTTATTAGTTTCTACACGTAGCCGAGATGCTATTGGTTTTAAAACGCCGTATAAAAAAAGTGTAATCTACAAACGGGTGCTAAACGTAGGAGAATTCTTGTATGTGCGTTTTAATAACAATACAGCGTCGTTAAACATAACCCAATTGCTCAACTTTTCTAAATCTTCAAATGCCAAAATTTTAAATAATAATAATATAAAACTGATTATCGCCAGTCAAAATTTTATTTAGACCATTCTCCATACAAAATTACAAATATAACAGGTTCCGGTTTAACTTTCTAAAGTTACCCCAAAAATATATCCATAGGAATAATTTTTTATGGATTATAAAAAAGAATTAAAAAGAATTTTAATCTATACATTAGTGTAGTTTTTATCTCTCCTTTATATATTCTTTTTCCCACCATTGATAGTTTTCTTACCCTGCATTTTCCTTTTATATGACATTATTATATTACTTAAAAATTTAAAAACTGCTTATTACTGTGTTAAAAACTTATACTATACTAATATAGAAGTTATTTAATACCTTCTCAGCTATTTACTGCAGCGATTAATGCAGCCCTGAAGAACAAACAATAGGAAAAAATGTCTAATGTTAAAATTTGTTTAAATTAAATTTCCAATAACAGTTGTAACTAATATTTTTTTCAACAAACCGCTCATTTGATCAGAAAGGTACACGTCCATAAGTACGTATCGTATGAAACGGATCAATTTGTGGTAGTGCGTCCACTGTATCCGTTGCAATCGGATTGCCGATGCGACTTTTTTTAGTAACATTCGTATGACGTCATTCGCACCAGTCGGAAAAGTTGCCCTTTCGATCAATTTCGTCGGCATTACCGACAGACCGATACGTGCGATCCGTCCGCTACCGGCCAGTGGACGCATATGTACAACTTACTATACTAATTACTTTACTAATAATTCTAAAATCCGTTTCATACGATTCACCCGATGCGTACTTTAATGTAACAAAAACTGTAGAAATGAGTTTTTATATTTATGAAATTTAACATAAATTTTGTTATAGTTTTCAACAAATTCTAGAGGTAGTACGATAAAATTTTGGAAAAAAATCACATCTATGCATTAAGGACTCCGTTTATACATAAAAAAAAATCATTATTTAACGAAAAATAGAAGGTTGAAAAACACTCTATACATTTTGGTTGTAAGATAAATTATCTACTAATCAACAATTAAAAAACCAGCAATTTTAATATTTAATCATTTTGTTTCAAAAAAAAGAAAGTGCTGTTTAATATAGTAGATTTTATTTTAAAAAATGTAATTTTGTATATTGTTAATTATAATGTAATATGCTTCATTAATATGAAAAATGTAAAAAAAACTTATATTTCATTATTATATTCATTAATATATTTTATTTTTAAAAAGTTAATAAGGTATAAAATAACTGTAATTATATTACTAAAAATATTAATTAATATATACACAATATATTATATATATTATTATAAAATTATATTACTCCTATATTATTGACTATTTATGTCGTCATTGTAATTGTCATTGATGAGCAAAAAAAATTGTCTAATGTCTTTGAAAAATCAATATGTGAATGATGATTATTCAATATTTTAAAATAATAATAATGTTCAAATAATACAAGAAAAGTATTCATCATAATTAATAATACATTTATGAATAAATGAAATTTATTAAATAATGAATGCATAGAGTAAATTTTTACTGTTTTACATTGTTATTACACTGTTGTTACATTATTTTTTTAACAAGTATAATAAATCAAACTTCATGAGTTTAACGTGCTTTTTGATATCACAAGAGTTTAATATTTCAATTTAAACACTTGTATTTACAGTACATTACATTACTATACGTAGTAACTGTAAGACGTAATTGAAATTATTATTTTTAAATTTTGCTTAATCAGTAACTATGAATAATTAACAGTAATTGAAGTTTCATTATTGGTATTCGAATTTTTTGTATACAGCTTCAAACTATCTAAAAACTATGTGGCAATTGATAGTGTTGTATTTTTCCGGCACACTGATACCTCAAATCTTGAGCGCATATATTGATGCATACCCCACGGAAAAAGACCAGGTAAAAATTAATTTTATTACGTACGGTAGAATCTATTCATACTGGTGCTGTGAAAATAAGGTTTAACGACCTCATAACATATGTCCCATTTTAAATGTTAAATAAATTTAATATAAACAATCATATTTGATTTTTAACATGAAAATACCAAACAAACATCTTTTAGAACAGCGTATGTAGGTTAAAATATTTTAAAGGTCACTAAACTAACGCAATTAGGAAGACTAGTTCCAATTGGTCATTTTAGAAAATAATAAGACACAATTATCAAATGTTTAAAATGTAAATAAATGGTTGTCTTATGTACAGATGATAAAAACGACGTTTTCTTAACAGTATTTAAGCCAAAATTCTATAAAAAAAATCCTATCTTTAGTAATTTTCACTGGCGTTATCCAGTTTGCTATATATTTGACTTACAATGATTTTAAAATAACATTCCTAAAAAATAATTTTAATTATTTAAGTCCCCCAAAAAACTTGAAATCGTATTAATTATTTTATACTAGTAGCATCAATTTTAATCAAAATTTTAGCGAATTCCATAAAAAAAATTGTTTTTTTTTTTTTAATAATTTCTTTGATTTGTTATTTTTTTTTTTAATACATTACTTAAAAAAGTTGTTTCATTTTGTACTGAATATTGAGAATTAATTTTTAAAATCATACTTTTAGCTTCGATGCGAAGCTGAGAAGGTATTGGTTTTACTATGATGTGTTTTTTTTTTTTTGTGTCTGTTACCACTTTTTCTCAGCTCTCACCGAACGGATTTCTTTCAACGATACGTCAAAAGATCACAAATCGTATCTAGTCGAAGACATTACCCTTCAAAATTGAAAAAATTTCCCTCGTTCCCCGTAAATGGGGGAAACCTCCAAAAAAATTACAAATTTAAAAATCGCTAATTTTCGAAATTTTTTCAATTTTTTTTACTAAAAACTGCCGTAACTTTTTCAAAAATGAACATATCAATATAATTTTTTTTTTATAGATGCTTCGTGTCTTTACATATTATTTAGTATATTTTTTTTGTAAATCTGACACTTAACCTGCCCACTGGGGGGATTTAAAATGACGACTTTTTTACAAAAAATTAACTTTTTCAACTTAACTTTTGAAAATGTTCCGGAAGGTCTGACACTTTTATAAATATTTTAAATTAAAGGTAATGTAATATACTTTATTATGGAAAAAAAAATTTGACCTCTTGACTTGTCTTCACGGCGAAAATGACTAACGAATGCTATTTTCGTGTGAAAATTCTCTATTTTATTATTTATATTATTTTTTAACTTTATAATGCTATAACTTATTGAAAAGTTTATGGACCTACACAATTTTTTTATGAGAAATATTTTTTTAATAAACCCTTTTTCATTCGACATACTTTATAGTAATTGAGATATTAATAAGGAACCAGCAGATCAAGTAGCTTTTGGAATAAAACACCAATTTTTTTAAAATTAAAAACTATCTAAAGATTTGCATCGAAGCGTTTATTTTTGATAGTGATTTTAATCACTGTCAGATATCATTATACTTGATCCAACTATNTGATTTTAATCACTGTCAGATATCACTATACCACGTCACAACTGTGCCGCGACCCCCCTGTGCTGGGTTTTTTATTTATTTATAATACAAATATATAAAAAACGATAACACAGGTATATTAGGTATTTTAAAATAAACAAACAAAAATAAAATTTGAACACAAAAATAGCATGTTTTTAACTGCGGCAACCGTTTGCACGTAGAAGAGATAAGTCGTCGAGACAATTTTTTTTTTTTTAATTTATAATGCTTAACATAAGCTTTAATTTGACATATGTTTAAAGGACACAGTATTTTTAATGTCTTCAACTAGAAACAATTTGTGATATTTTGCCGTATAGTTGAAAGAAATCGGTTCGGTGAGAGCTAAGAAAAAGTGGCGACAGAAAAAAAAACACATCATAGTAAAATTCATACCATTTTAGCTTCGAATCGAAGCTAAATCAATAACTTACATTGTCTTTCAAATGACCAATTCAATAAATGTATGATATTGTTAGTTGCTGAGATGTTTGAACAAGTTAAATCAAACTTAATTAGGTTAAAAATAGAGTAATGATATTCTTTTTATACCCTACATAAAAATAGTCCAATGAGAAATGCCTTAAAATAAATAAATTAAAATTTAATAATATTAACATATATTTATTTAAATTGTTCATAAATGTTATAAAGGAATTCATACTAAGATATAAATTATTTACATATAAATGTTCATTTATAAAAGTCGCAATGCTTGGTTTCATGAACCATTTTAATAAAGTGTAATTAAAGAATAAGCACTAAAATTCATTGAATACTTGATATTAAAACATGAAATAAATTTGATTATAGCTTATTAACATTGTTACAACTTCGTAACATGAAGAGTGCAAATAAACACAAAAAAAAAACAAAATAAATTTATAACAAAACATTATATCATCCATATACACTAATAATAATAAACTGTTATTATGTTTTATTATTATTTGTCAGTTTATTTATTTGCTTAAATACAGTTAAACTACTATTTTTTTTCATACTTTTAAAAATTCAATTTTTTCAAATTTATCTAAGAAATTATTTTTCAATTATAATAATATCAAAAACATGTATAACATCTGATATTTGAAAACAAATCAAGAAATTTACAGTATAACAAAAACAGAAAAACTCAACAAAATAAAACAAGGGAACAAAAGTAAAATATCTTACAAAATATTTAAAACTCAATACAAACAATAGTCCTAGCTTTATAATAGCCCTGCAAAATACAACATTAAAATAACAAAGAAAAAATCTATACAAATTCATTGAAAATAAAAATTAGTTCTTAACAATATTATTTAACCATGCGATTCATCATCTTCGACAAAATCATAAGCTATATCTCGTGTAATACTATCAATATGACTGACCTATTTATAATATATAAAATAAAATGTAAATTTTAAATTATACAAAATATTTTAATCTGCTTAAGATCAAAAAGATAAAAATTTGTGAAAATTATAGGAAAAATACTTGAAAAAAAAAACCTTTTTTCTTAATATTCATGGAAAAAAATTAGTTATAAAAAATTATATTTTATAACACAAATTTGTCTAAGTTAATTATAATAGCTATGTTAAAAGAATACTTTGTCAACTTATGAAATAATTAAGGTTCAGGTAATAATAGATACATAATAGGAATTTATAAATGATGGTGTTTGGAAATAAAATTATGTGACAATATTCTTAAGAGTAGTAAAAATTTAAATGGGTAAAATTATTTAAAGAAATTAAAAATGTGTTTCCTTTAATTCTATTCAAAGTTAAGAAAATATAATATTCTACTAATTTTTTGAACCTTTTAACTCAACACTTTGTATTTATTTCAAAAATTGTATTATTTAGTAAAGACAAAATGAAATGTAGACCTATATTTTATGCAAAACTAGAAGATTTACAAAATATTACAATAAAATGTCTTTTAATTTTTACTATCTTCCAAAAACTTTTAATTTCTGAGTTTTTATTTTTCAAAATTTCAACTTTTCTGGAAGTTTCATATTTTAATTAATTACCTTATTGCGAAATTTAACTCCATAAAATTTGTTGGCGTAAAGCAATAATTCAGGTCTAAATGTAGAAACAATAAATTGAGCATGGTCAGAAAATTCATGTATCATATTAGCTATTGCAGTCCGATGTTGAGGGTCTAGGGCCTAAATATAAATATTAAAATATTAAGAATAATGATAGAATATTCAATTTAATATTTTTCTAAGGTAATAACTTAGATATGACAGATATAGATATAACTTTTTTTGAAATTAAGCAATTTATTGCTCAATTTCTCATTACTCTTAATTAATAAGTGATAAGTTGATAACACACAAATGAGAAATATAGTTTCATTTCATTTGATCATTACATAAAAAAAAATTATTTATGCTATTATTTTAGCCATACACATTTTTAAAATAAATAAAATGATGCAAGTACTTACATGATCAATTTCATCAAACAAATAAAATGGTGCTGGATCACATTTTTGAATAGCAAATATGAATGCCATAGCAATTAATGATTTTTGACCACCAGACAATTGTTTCATTTCACACATTTCTGTACCATGATCATCAAAAGAAACTTTTATCATAATTCCAGTATAACTATCAATATTATTTTCCTAAAATTTGTTTTGTTTTTAAAAATTACCTTGCATTTTTTTTTTTACAATAAATTATTTTTTTTTTTTTTAATATAGATAGATTTCAACAAAAATACACCACAACATCTGTTAATAATAAATAGATAAAACTGTTAAATCGAATATTTTTCAGATTATTTCAACTTGTTAAAAGTATTTTAATACCTTTTAAATAATTAAAATATATTTTTGAGATAAATAATTTAAAGGGCCTAGAATTGCATTCAATTGCAGGATCGGACATTTGATTAATTGTGATTATTTTATTATATCTCATTACTAGACCATTTTATTTTGTATTTAATTCTAAATTTATAAATAAAATTTTTAAACAAGTTATAATAAAACCACAATACTTACATTTTCTGAACTCGATGTAGTAGAATTATTTTCATTAGCTGATTTCATTACTAGTTGTGCAAACCCATTTGGCACAAGTTTTTTAAATACTTCAGTAAAATACATTGACACTTGTCTGTATGTGAAAAGAATTGCTTCACATTTTTTTTGTTCTAATACATTCATTAGTTCTTTAATTTTTATATAGCTAAACAAAAAACAAAAAATTAAGCATCTATATCTAGTTTTTATCATAATTGAGTAACATACCCTCTATCAAGTTCTTGTTTTCTAGTTATTAATTTCTCTTTTTGTTCTGAAAAACATACAAATTGATCAAAAGCTTTTTTATTGACATTTTTAAAGCGCTTCATATTACTGTTAACATTTTCTAACTCCTTAAATAACTGAAAAATAATAAAACAGAAAATTTTAAAACAATTAAAATAATAACTTCAATAAAAATAAAACAGAATTATGACTACTATTGTTGGTTCAATTTTAATAAAAAAAATCATAATTATTAAAATTTATGCTTCACATACAGGCTGCTAAGATTGTCAATTTGAAGATGTGTTGTAGTCAGTTTTTCTAGTGGAAGCTAAACCTTTATACAGATTTTTAGCAATAAGCAAATGGGTGTATAAATAAAATATTTAATAACTTAATTAACACTCAAAGAATTTAATTATTAGCCAAATACTTACATTCTTCGATGAATAATCGGAATATATGTTCATTAATTCTGCATTTGGAAAAGGTCCAAAATCACTAATTTTAGCTTGACAGTCAGTCATTTTTTTTTTTAAGGCATTTTGTTTAGATAACTCTGTAACTAGATTTTGAGACTCATTTTCAAGTTTTTCTTGAGCATCTCTTTCAGCAATTTTCCATGTATCCAAATCAGTTTGGTAAATATTTAGCTAAAAATATATTACTATTAAATAAAAACAGTAATAATCTTAATCAATTGGATTCAAAACACTAGAATAGAAATAATTAAATATTAAGTTTGCATCAATTTAATAAAAACTTTATTATAATGATATTAATTTTATAACAATTTTGAGTCAACAGCTTTACTTTTTTTTTTAGAGGGGGGAATTGTAACTTTATATCTAATTTTAACTTCTATCCTTATTTAAATTTTTAAAGAATCTATATCATGCAATTTATATTGTCCTCAATGCTAAAGTTTTGAGAGAAGTAATATTATTCTAAATACCAACATTTCAATATAAAACTTTATTTTTCATGAATAATTATTCTGATTTTTATAATTTATAATAAAATTAGAAATACTTTAAAAAGAAAAAAGAATTTTACAATATATAATGTCAGCATTTAAAATTTTTAGGTATCAACTTTGATTCTTTTGGGCAAGTTTTTTTAATAAATAAAAATATAAAACAATTTTTAGATACATCCTGGAATAATAGTTTTGATTATTTTAAGATTTTGAAAATCGTAAAATAACACTTTTTTAAGCTTTTATTGTGAAGTAATTTAATTATATAAACACCATTTAAATATTACATGTTAAAAATAAATAATTATGAAACCCAGATTCTAAATAAAAGAACGTAACTACATTTTAATTTTAATGAAGCAAACAAATTATCCATAATAACTATTAGACATAATTATTTCTACAGTGGTCTAACTAAAATATATTGAGGAATTGAATTTTACAATTGAATTAAAGAAATAAATAAGAATTACTATACAAACCCACAATCTTTAATATTATATTATTAATAAAGTAAAACTTACTTTTTTCATATAGTCTTGAAGTCTTTCATCATTATTTTTTATATTGATGTTAAGTGTCTCCAGTGTTCTAGTTACAGATTCAAATTCTAATTGGCTGTTATTTAAAGTTCTTTTCCGGTCTTCATAAGATATTTCTTGCATTGCCTGAAGATTTTGTTTCGAGGTAATATTTAATGATACATAACTATTAATTTATGAGAAACTTATTAGTAAAAAAATCTATAATAATGCAATAATATTGTATTGTCGGAACTGTAAAGCCACAAGTTAAAAAAAAAAATGATAGCACAGTGGGAGTCAGAACACAGTATTAATGTGTGATAGTTAGGACAAGTATAGTGATATCTGATAGTGATTTTAATCATTGTCATAAGAAACACTTCGATGCAAATGTGTAGCCAGTGTTTACAAAAAAAACATCAACTCTTATTTCCTTAATTATATCCTGATTAGTAGCTTTTAAATTAGAAGTATAATTTATGAATAACATATATTAAAGCAATTAAATATAGTATGTAATTAATATTAAGAAATTTAATATGTAATTTTTACGGAGAAATAATAAAAAATGATAAAGTATATTTTGTCACTCTTATAAAAAACATGTATAGAAATTATAGGGGGATTTGATGCAAGACTTTATAAAATTTTTTTTTTTTACTAATGAATAAATAAAGTTTTCTACAAGAAACATTCATCAGAATCAAAAATATACTTTTCTAAATCAACTTTACGCATTTTTTTCAAATTTGAAATTAGACTTCTTTTATCACTTCTCAAGTTTGATATTATTACAAAAATGAATATTTACTTATAAAAATAATTAAAAACAAAAAAATTGTTTTTAAATTTTTAATGATTTTGATTTTTAATATGTTAAAAATAATTAGTGCAAAATATTACCAACCTATTTTTTGGTCTTAAAAGTTGATTTTTGAAAGTTTATTATAAAAAAAAGTTGAATTTGTTATCATAACATCAAGTTTGAAATTTACATTAGTAAAAAGAAAATTTTATAAGACTAAAAAAATAGTAATGTGAAGATTAATATGCAGTCAGGAAATTTTATAATTACTATTTACTGTTAATTTATCAGAAAAGCTCAATATTTTTTTTGCATTTTTATCATAACAGATCACTTAAATAAAAATCATAGTATTAATTTTTAAGTAACTATATTGTTTAAAAATATTCTACAATTGGAATATTGAGTACTTGATTAATTTTAATGATTTACTTTAACTAAAAAACTAATCAAAATGTTGTTAAAAAATCACTTAATTGAGCATATTATAAAATTAGATTTTAATTGTAAACATTCATTGTTAAATTCGGGTGAAACTAAAAATCATATTTATAAAAATGATTTATATAGCAATGTTACTAAAAAAATTGGAATATTATAGACTGGTTCTAGCACACACTAATAAAGTAAAATAATGAATAAATTACATAGTACAATTATTTAATTTTGTAGTTAAAACCTATCATCATATCAAACCTAATTTTTGACAATAAATACTTTAAATATATTAAAAATTAATAATATTAATTGTCTGTATAGAGAAAGCTGGTAAACTTTTAATTTGATAAAAAGTATTTTTTTTTCAATTTTTGAGAGTAATATCTTTAATTAGATAGTTGTGATCATTTAATTAAAATCATATAATTTAAAAAATTGGTCAAGTGAGAGCTGAGAAAATAAATGAGAACCACAAAAAAAAATCACATAGTAAAATAATTTTTATATGAATAAGAAATTTATTCGAATGAGAGACTATAATAATGGGGTCCTTATATTCATTTAAGTTATTGTATCTAAATGAGATAAAAATCGAATGAGTTATATCTTTTTTTTTTTAACTCAAAAATCTTTGTAAGGTATTTTAAAATAAAATACAAAACCGAGAATTACAAAAAAAAAAAAACATATTTTTAAATATGGTAGTCATTTCCACCATAAAAATAGTGTAAAGATAGTTTTTTTTTTTTTTTTCATATATTAAAAATATATTATATAAGCTTTAATTTAAGATATAAATAAAAGTATCTTTATTTCAGGAACATTTTCAAAAATTAAGTTGAAAAAGTTCATTTTTTGTGAAAAAGTTTTATGTGCCTGTGGGCACATAAAGGGTCAGATTAAAATAAAAATATATGATAGGTAAATACTTAATGTAACTATAAAAAAAAAAATTGTTTCTATTAATCTATTTTTCAAAATGTTATGGCAGTTTTAAGTAAAAAAAAATTTTGAAAATTAGCAATTTTTTTGGAGATTTCCTTCATTTACATAGAACGGGGGAAATTTTTTCAATTTTAGAGTGTAATGTTTTTAACTAGATACGATTTGTGATCTTTTGATGTATCATTGAAACATATTAGTTTGGTGAGAGCTGAGAAAAAGAGATAACAGACACATAAAAAAACACATAGTAAAATTAATACCTACTCAGCTTCGTATTGATACTAAAAGCAAATGATTAGGAAATCCAATATTTAAGTTCTAAATGAAACAAATTATATTTTTACTGACCAAAAAATAATGCTAAGAATTTATTCATATATATATTCTATTTTTAACATGTTAACTTATGAATTCTTGTAAATTTTTTTACACAAATTGAAAGAACAAAAGTTGTATTTATTGTATTAAATGTATAGTATCACTTTATAGCACACTAAATGTTTCATTCATCTAGTTAAAATAGGAGGATGTAATACATTTTTTTTTAGCTTTGATGTAAAGCTAAGAAGTTACAAATAATTCATGCTGAACTACAAATTTTTAAATTCCAATTATACAATAATTCAATATATGACTATTTTTCTGACTCCAAAAAAAAAGAAATGATAGGAGTCATATTTGATTTAATAACCAAACTGCACTAAAACTTCACATTCATATTCTGTATAATTAAGATTATTAATAAATATAACTATAATTGATATAAATAATGTAATAGTGCCACTACTTCAAAAAAAAAAAAAATATGTCCAATTGATAAATAAAATTGTAACCATATAACTCTAACAAAGCATCATATTCAACCTGTTTAAGTTCATCTCGTCGTTTAATCAAATTATTGTTGAGTAAATTTTCCAATTTATTTTTATCAGCTTCAAACTTGACTAACAAAGCAAAGTTTGATTCACGTTCTTGTCTTAATGATTTTATTTCGTCATTTAACATATCAATTTCTTTTTGATCATTAATGGAAAGTTGAGTCAGAAGCTCCTAATCAAATATGAAAATAAAACATACACATAAAATTAAATGAAAATAATCATACTTGATGAAGTTCAGTTTCTAATTCATTTTTTACAATTAACATTGATTCCAAATTTGACGATGCTTGAACTAGTAATTTTTCATTTGATGCTTGACAACTTTGAATCACTCCAAGTTCTCCTTTTAACAGATTTATGTCAGCTTTCAAATTATCAATATTGCTTCTAAAAAATTATTACCAGTCTATTAGTTATTTATCACATACACACATTATGTATAAGTAAATTTTCAACACATTTCAACTGTATAAATAAATTTAACTTATCATATAGTAATAAATTCAATAACAAAAAGTAAATTACAGTAGGGATCTAGCAAAGTGGAGTTGAGGTATTTTTAAAATTAGTTTTCAGACAGCAAGGAAAATCATTACCCATTTTTAAAAACTATTTCAATATAAAAATACTAAAAATTTCAATATTAAATATTATAAGACAATTGTAATTTTTTGGGACATTTCTCTTTATTACAGGGTTTGAAATTTTTGTTTTCAAAATTATGGCGCTAATAACTTTAACTAGATACATATTGCAGTTTTTTGACATATTATAGAGCAAAATTGGTCAAATAAATGTGGAGTAGGGTGTCCCTTATTTATAAAATTTAAAAACTACAAAGTGCCACCCCCTAGAATTATTCGAATACATGAAAAAATAAATTGTACAAAATTTGGAGACGATTGGTCAACTCTAAGACGTGCCCCAAGGGGGTTAAAAATAACCCACCAAGGGTGATTTTTTAGTTTTTTATGTCTATCTCAAAAACTTTAGCTTTTGCGAAAAAGTTTATTCGACCTTTTATGTAGGTATACAATTTTTCTATAAAAAGTATATATACAAAAATTTTCGAAAAGTTCTTATTTAGCCCTAAAAAAATAAAAACGTATACAGAGTGTTTAGTAAGTCAGGAAACGGGTTTCTATTGTTCTCATTGTTACAAACAATGAGAACAATAGAAACCCGTTTCCTGACTTACTGAACACCGTGTATGTTTTATTCTTACCGTTAAAACTGTTAATTTATAAATCGTTCATTATAAAAACATAAAAAAAATTCATTTAACCGTTGTTTTAAATTGAATTTTCTATACATTTTTAATTCGGCATTTTTTCTATTATTTACTATTCAAAACCTACAATTTTTTTTAATTTTAATTAAAAAAAATACATCAAAGTAAAATTAATACCGTCTCAGTTTCACATTGAAGCTAAAATAATGTTCACTTACAAATTTATATACAACCAGAAACTATATAAACTTGTAATAAAAATATATAATGAACGAATATTATTTAAATAATTAACTTTTTGATTGACAATTCAAATTAGCCGCGAAACAAAAAAAAATTTCAAACAATAAATGGCCTTAGCCATCCAACGAGCATGATGGATTGGGCCAGGAATTTTAAAATAAATTCTATGTAAAGCTGTTTCACCAAAAAATATTATGACCAATTCTAAAAGTTCCTCGAGGTTGGTATTTTTTAATTGTTTAAAACTAAATTTCAAAATATCGTCTTTTTTTGTTTTTAACTTTTCTAAAATAACAGTATCTTCTATTCCACTTAAGTAATTTGTTTTAATTATTTTTTGCCAAGACTTTTGGAATTTATTAAAAATAGGAACATCTGGTTCGGATGACGTATTAAATTTTACTTCAAAAACACTTTTCAATATAATTTCATAAATGTGATGTCTGCATGGTAAGTATAATATATAACGCCCTAACATTTGCATGGAATTTATTTTAAAATTCCTGGCCCAATCCATTATGCTTGTTGGATGGCCAAGGCCATTTATTGTTTGAACATTTTATGTTTCGGGGCCAATTTGAATTGTCAATCAAAGAGTTAAATATTCGTTCATTATGTATTTTTATTACAAGTTTATATATTAAACAATGGTTTAGTGCACCAATGCTGCATTAGCGCCAAATTTAGATTTACAATTTATTAAAAATATAATTGATTATGAACCAATAGATAAAGATATTTCTAAAGTAGTTTTAAAAAAAAATGTCGGGTCACTTATGGTAATTAGTATCCGAATGGGCAGCATTGGCTTTTTTTGATGATGATTTATGTGAAGATACTAAAATTAAAATAGTAAACTCATTAAATAATTGGGAAGAAGATCTATGTACAAACAAACGTATAGTAGTAGAAGTAAATGAAATTTATGATTTTAAAAATAAAAGTATAGATGATTTTATTTCAACTGAGTCAAAAAAGTTGTTTGAAAGATATGACATTGAAACAGATTTTTTAAATATCAATCCTTTGTTGTGGAAAGACAACAGTCAATATATATCGGAGAAAAAATAATAGTAAATATTTTAAAAGTAATAAATGATTTGGCAGAGAGGGGCGTGAAATTCATAGAAGAGTATAATAATATTTTAACAAAAGTCGAAGCACAAAAATAATACCTATTATAGATTGTTACAGAATACCGGCTTTGTTTTCCTAATTGCAATAAATACACATTTATTGCCAAGAATTTTAAAAAAGATAAAATATTTAAAATATGTAGTAAATTTTTTTAGTATGTTTTTTCTTTGTAAATAGTTTCTGGTTGTATATAAATTTGTAAGTGAACATTATTTTAGCTTCAATGTGAAACTGAGACGGTATTAATTTTACTTTGATGTATTTTTTTTAATTAAAATTAAAAAAAAATGTAGGTTTTGAATAGTAAATAATAGAAAAAATGCCGAATTAAAAATGTATAGAAAATTAAATTTAAAACAACGGTTAAATGAATTTTTTTTATGTTTTTATAATGAACGATTTATAAATTAACAGTTTTAACGGTAAGAATAAAACATATACGTTTTTATTTTTTTAGGGCTAAATAAGAACTTTTCGAAAATTTTTGTATATATACTTTTTATAGAAAAATTGTATACCTACAAAAAAGGACTTATAAACTTTTTCGCAAAAGCTAAAGTTTTTGAGATAGACATAAAAAACTAAAAAATCACCCTTGGGGGGTTATTTTTAACCCCCTTGGGGCACGTCTTAGAGTTGATCAATCGTCTCCAAATTTCGTACATTTATTTTTTCATGTATTCGAATAATTCTAGGGGGTGGCACTTTGTAATTTTTTAATTTTATAAATAAGGGACACGCTANGTGGAGTAATTGTGTCCTTAGGCACCACAAATAAAAAACACAGCAATAAAAAACCAATAATTAATATTTTTAATTTATCTTAAACTATGATAATAAGAACTTTAATATTAATATTAATTCTTAATATAAAATATTCAATATGTTCTCAAAAGTTAGTTCTTAAGCTTTTATATTCATTAAAATTATATTTTTGAACAATTATTTAAAAGAAAGCAAAAGTCAAATATATAATTAATAATACACATTAAAGGCTGGTTATTAAGACACATTATTCAGGCTCTAGACTTAATTGGTATTGGTGATCTACTTTTATCATGGCTTCAATCATCTTATAGGTAGATAGCAATTTTTTTAAGCTGAATAATATATCTTTTAACTTAGATCACATTACATCTGGTGTTCCTCAGGATGGTCACCTAAGCCCTCTTTTATTCTCTATTTTTATTAACTCTATTAATAACCATCTTCAGAAGTCCCGTTATCTTCTATATGCTGATGACATAAAAATATTCCTTAATATCAAGTCTACATTTGACTATCTCTTCCTCCAAGATGAGCTCAATTTATTCTATAGTTAGGCATCCCGGTGTCTTGGTCACTCCTTTAATTTTTCTAGGTGTAATTTTATTAATTTTTTTATATCTCGTATACCTATTCTTCATTCTAATTTTTTAAATGGCACTCTTCTACAGCGACTATCTATTGTTAAAGATTTTGGTACCTACTACTCCTACTCATTTTCTTTTAGTTACCCACATCGAAATCACTGTTGGCAGAGTATTAGAAGTCCTTAATTTTATAAAACAAAATTTCAAGCTCTTTAAATCCATAGCATGCCTGCATTCCCTTTATTTTTTCCTTGTTTGCTCTTTACTTGAGTATGATGTAATTGTCTGGCACCCATTTCTTATTAAAGACCAGTTACGCCTGAAATGTGATTAAAATAGATTTTTATCATTTGCTAATTTTTAACTTAAACTATCTAAATAAGATCATGACTATACATACCTACAGTAAACTTTAAATATTTTCTCTCGTCAATCTGATATTAATGTTCATCTTCTACTGAACGGGTATATTGATGCAAATGATCTTTATTCTTATATTCTCTTCCAAAACCCTTATTATATTTGTTATCAATGCCTTTTTTATATTCCTGGCCACACTACTTCCTATAGTCACAACCATCCTCTACATTGGGTAGTTTCTTAAACTACCTACTATATACATTGATTAATTACCTTTTGATCTTTATTATTATTTTTTTATACTTGATTTAGTGTATTTTTTTTTTTTTTTT